CAATTGCAGTGAATACCTACCTGAAGAAAAAATTGAAATTATTAAAAAAAAAAATGAATGACGGCGGGATCGAACCCGGGCCGTCGGCGTGCAAGCCGAGCACGTTACCGCTAGGATAACGTTTTATTACAATAAATTATTTTCATTAGGAGTATATATATTGCAAAAGTATCGTTTTAAAAAATTGCTAATTTTTCAATTTCACTGGATATCTTCTCGATTTTGAAATATTTAGTTTTTAAACGATATTTGGATTGATTTGCCATTAACAAAAAAAAAAAAATAGGAATTATTTAAAAAAAAAAAATGAATGTTGGCGGGATCGAAACCCAGCCGTCGGCGTGGTAGCCGAGCACGTTACCGATAGGATAACGCGTTATGTTATGAAAATATAATTTTATTAGTGGTATATCTTCTACATATTAAATAATTTTTTTCATTTAAAATTCCACAAAATGTGGCTTCCCCCTTCCACTCGTTCTACAGGCGGCTAAATTCCAGTTAAACAAACGAAATACAAAAAGCATTCATGCCGCAGAAAATAAAATTCACCCCGTCGACTTGATGGACACCCCAGCATTGCGTGGGGCGCCCTCCCTCTCTTGGGGTGCAGAACTGAGCCTCTACTTTAGGCAATCGTCTTTGGATAGGGCATTCAATTGCATACAATGAGTGCATTCACATAGCAAGTGAGATTTATCAGAAGCCCAGTCTCTTTTTGCTCTCGACTATAGTTTTTCTTTCTGAATCACTCAAGTCTGTGATTGAAATTACTTTCGGTTTTTTATTGTTCAGAGATAGTTCGACTTCGACGATGGCGTCTAGATTTTTCAACCTTGCATCAGCAGTTCTGAATGCCTGTCTCAATTTCTCTTCAAGGCCAGGATTAGTCTTTTTTTGTTTCTTCTGCACTGTGAATTCAGCCACGGTGAATCCGAGCGTTTTCTCCAAGACTTTTGAGGAAAACTCCACATCCAGACTGTCAGTGCCATCAGTCAGGGTTCCCTCCAGCGTCCATTCTCCCTCGACTTTCCCCAACTTCCCCAGGTACTTGGTCTTCGCCCAGATTTTCTTCCTCGCGAGTCCTTCACTCAGGGACAATCTTTTCAATTCACAAATAAAATCACAGACTCTTTCGATCGGACGTTCAACAGGTTTCTCAGTCTTTTTGAAGAAATCTAGGATTCCTCTGTTGTTTTGGGTAATCTTCGCATTGTTTTTAGTCGACAGAATCTTCGACCCTGTTGGGAGGGGGTCCCCTGCTCTCTTCGGGGGATTTAAACTCGAGTTTACTCGAGAGTCAGATCCTGAAGCTCCTAGAACTCTTACACCACTCGTTTTCGTTGTTTCCAAGGGCTTCATGTTTTTCTCACTCCTAGAAACTGTAGATTGTTTGAAAAACGAAATTAGACCGGTGGGTTTCACCGATTTTGAAACTTCAGGGTTTCTTTCAGCTGTAGTTCCTCTGGTTTGAACTGTTTTTACATCAGCCTCAAGCTCGAAGTCGTCCCACTCTATATTTCCAAAGTCCTCTAATTTTTCATCAAATACTTCAGTCTGCCTCGATTTACTCGAGCTGTCCCGGAGATTTTTGGCAAATGATTTTTCATTAGAGATGTTAATTAGCTCAGACTCTCTGTTATTGGATTTGGCAATTGATGTCCCAGAATTTCGACTGAGATTTTCATTCTGACGATTTTCGACTAATCGTGAATTCCTCTTGATGTGGTTTTCATCCATCAGTTCGAGGAAGAGTTCATCGTCGTCAGGGAATTCGATGCCCTCCATCTCTGTTTCAAGGTCCAGAGGTTTTGGCCTGTCGATGGATCTCGTCGGATTTTTGGTTGGTACGTTCGAGGAATTGATACAGGAATTCGTCTTCTGAGGCCTCGATGACTGTGGAGGATTGGCAGAGGGTCGATTAGCTGGGGCTCCTGATTCCAGCTGTGTGATTTCATCAAGATCGACGTCAAGATCGACGTCAAAATCGTCGTCGAGGATGCCTGCATCACCAGTCGGCGGATTTGTGTCATTGTAGGGGTCTGGATTCTCTGGCATGTTCAGGGCTCGTGCAAAAACATTTTCTGTTGCATTTGAAATGAGTAAACGCTCCACTTCACCCCCAATCTCCTGAATATTCGACTCATCCAGGAGAATAACTCCTCGTCTACACTCCACTGGTCCCTTGATCATGATCTTGAATCCCGGGAGAATCATATCCTTCAGGAATCTGATCCGGTGATACTCGATCCCTGAAATATCCTGGATGCCATCAGTCAGGAACAGCTGCATCATTCTTTTGCTTTTTGCCTCCCAGAACTGTGTCTGCTCTCCTTCTTGCACTAGGTCATTCTCGTTTGAAACTTTTCGCATTGTCTCCAGTTGTTTGTATTTTGGGGTTGATATGTCGTAGCCTTTTTCCACCTTGAAATGACAAAATATACATACAGGTTGATCAGAGGGCATGGGTAGTTTATTTTTTGGACAATCGAATTCTACCTGGAGGATGTATTTTCCTGGCAATGTCGTGCATTTTTGCTGTCCGAGGTTTTTTGGCAAACATCCTTTTTTATCTGAGATCTCACGGAGATCACTCAGTTGCCACTGGGCTGTCACGAATGTTAAAGCTTCATCAACTGTTGCCTAAATAATATTTATTTATTACAAAACGTAACCACTTTTGAAAAAAAATTTCCACTCAATTTCCATCGGATAAATTTTGCTCTTCTCAGGCAGGACAAGTAAATTCATTCCGAATAAATAAAAAAAAAATGTAATTGACATGTTTATGTTGTCGTAACCTACATTTGGATTTTCAGTCAAATAGTAATCGAGGCAGTCGTTGAGCCACTCGTCGTTCATGTGATAGAATTTGTTACACAATTGTCTCTTGACTGTCTCCATACGTCTCTCCATATTCTTTATTTATAATTATTAATGAAAAAAATTGTGGGGCAGGCGTGATTTTGCACTTATTCCCACAGTGATGTGCGTCGGTAGCGTTTCTAATTTTTTTTTTTTTTTTCTTTGACTATTTCGGCGGTGAGATATGGCGCACCGGTTTTTTTTGTTATGTTTGAATTTTCTGAACGTGTTGATCACCACAAATTCGAGGTAATTATCAAGAATAATAAAATAGTCATTGAGAAATACACCTAGAGCCAATGAACAGTAATTAATTACACGTGTTTAATGCTTATTAATGGGATTGAATGCGTGTGATCGAATTTTGAGGTTAATTCAGTAAAAGTTTGTTAAACTGATAAAAATAATTTAGTCGATTGATTGCTAATAACAATTGAGTGGTTTATACAAAGGAAAAGTAAATTCGTAATATATTAATCCATATATTTCAATATCTTCATCCCCAAATAAAAGCAAGAAAAATTCGTTACAATTCGTCAATTAAATAAAATGAATAAATAGTGAATTTGTCGGTACTGTGCGGTAATCAGTAAATATCATTGCTAGACTAGTCACACGGATCACTCATAAAAAAACAATGATTCAATTAAAAATTTGGCAGGCGTAATATTGATTGAAAATACCGAATTTCGATATGAAAATAAATAGGCTCTCTCTAAAATACATACAGATAGAGAAATTTAAAATTATGAGCAACTATTCTTCTAAGTATTCTGAGCGATCGATTCAAAGTGACGAATTCAGAGTATTGCCATTCAATAATTTAAAAAAATATATCACGATTCGTCAGATTTGATCACTGGAAGGTAGATCCATCGATGGAGCTATAATTCAGTATCAGTAAATGAAAATTAATAAATTAATTCTGTTGAAAATCTATGGTGGTTGTTAAACGATTCGAGTTGAGCATCTAGACGCCCATTCCAATAAATAACTTATTTAGATCATTCAAATACATCACATTCCTTTGTTTACATCAGCTGTACTATTTTTTGGAATCATTCTTATCGTTTTCCTCGACTTCAGGGGCTGGAATTTCTTGTGTGGCTTCTGAAGAATCATCACCACGAGGAACACTCTCCTCTCCCTTGTTTTCTTCTTTTTCCTCCTGTGAATCAATTTTTATTTTAAGTCCCTCCAGAAGTTTGTAAAATTCAATACTTTCGGGAGAATAATCGACAAGATGTGCCGAATGTGAAGTGTCCACTAGTGCAGTTTCCACTCCTTCATTTATCGGAACATCTTCATTACTGGAATTTTTTCCATCAACCTTCGGACTCTGCCCCAGGTCTTTTCCAAATTTCCCAGTATTACGTGGTGATTTTGATTGATAATTCGTAGATGCACTCTGTCTCTGTGCGTGGAGAGATTTCTGGAAGTTCTTGAAGTCCTTGTTGTTGAAGGAATGGGTTTTGCCGTCACCCTCTCGTTTATGGAATTTGTCGCTTCGCTCGTGCTCTCGTCTGAGAGCACGAGGAGACTTCTTGTTGGAACCTTTGGGCTTTGATTTATCCTCTGGGAATTTTTGCAGACTGAAATTCCCAACTTCAAAGTTCATGAATTCCTTGTCGGATTGACTGTACATCACACGAGTTCTCTGGCGAGGGCCAACTCGTCCTGTTCCCACGATATTCGGAGAACTCACTTTGACGCTCATCAGAGGATTTTTGCAGCTGTTGGATCCATGATTTACCGTGACTTGCACATTTTTATCGATTGAGTTGATTATTTTTCTCTCCTGATCAGACTCTCGTCCATGAGAATAAAAATTCCTGGTGTACCCCCAGTCCCCCAGAGTGTGACTGTCCTTCCTGGTGACATCATCAGCCAAATGCATTTTGTCGTTATCCCACTCCCGTTTCCAATTTCCCTCAGCAGTCCTCTGCCTGCTGATCCTCGCCTCGTCGATTTTATTTCTCTCAGCCCTCCAGGCCTCATAATCAGGCAGTGAATCCTGTCCTGAACCTCCAGATTTTCCACGATATTCCCTTGATTGCCATTCCCTCCCGGCCTTTTGCTTTTTAAAATGACCTCGTGATGATTTCCCTCGTCCTTTAATTTTGTCAGGGTCTTTTGAGTTTTCGTGATGCTCCTCGCGCTCAGAATCCGCCAGGAAGTTGTATTTTGGGTCTGGTGGAGGGCCTTCGTTCTGGGGAAATGTGTGGGTCTTTTTTCCTTCACCACCTGCACGATATTGGATACTGCCGTTGTGATCCCTCGGGGAATTTCTCAGCTTTGGGTGATTTTTCGAGGGTACAGGAGGAGAGGAGAACTCTGGGGGCTCCTTTCGCTCTGGCCAATCCGTCGAGGGCACCATCTGCACCAGGGCATTCGATTTCGCAGCATTTTTCTTGTCTGCTTCGACTTCCTGAAGATAAATATCATTTCTCAATTGGGTAACAAAAAAAAAATAGCAAATTGCGATTAATTGCGTTAATTTTTTAGTCGTTCTCAATTTGAGGGACATTCCATTATCTTAATTACCTCGTAACGTCGTTTTATCTCCTCATTCTGCTGTCTTATTTTATTAATTTTCTCTTCAAGTGGGTCAGCTGCCATTTTTTAAAATAATCATATAGATTTTTCAACTGGGATTTTTTTTTTTACTGTCACTCGGCCAATTTTGATTGGATTACTGCACTCGAAAATTCATTGATTTTCTCGATGAAGGGGTTGATGAAATTTGCCAAATGGCATTACTGCTAATGTGAATCGGTTATATTTTTCGATATCGCTTAATGCCACTCACGCAAACCACTTCCGGATTCCCCCGATTCCTTTTTTATCGCTCATTGAATTTTTTTCATTTCACTGGTGAGTTAAAAAATTCATCACCTCAATATGGAATTCCTAGCGGACCCGGACGTCACTGGGGTATCTAGGTCCAGGTGTTTGGAGCCTTTCACGTGTTTTTTTTTCCTCTGTTGTGACTTGAGGCTTTTTTGAGATTCTTTTCTATTCTGGCATTTGTAGCCCAGACTGCGAGACCAGTCGCGCAGTACAACTGGATGGAACTAATAATAGGGGGAAATGAAGGGGAGAATTGATAACGGGGTGGGGAGGTTGTTTGATGATTGGGAAATCTGTTGTATCACTTGGGGATAACAAACTGTTGGATCTGGGAGAAGTGAGAGTACTGAAGACCTGTGGGAGGACGCCAGTTGTATCATTCCCTGACATTCCTACAACATCACGTCATCAGGAGTCTTCCCCTTCCCTTCGCTGACCCTCCTTTAACCCGCCAAGACCTTCACAAGGCCTTCTCTCCCCCTAAACGACCTCCGCACACCCTCCACGTGACCTCCCATTCAAATTTTTCATGTTTTAAATTTTTTTGAATTATTACTGATATTGTTGGCGATTGGCTGGAATCAAAGTCACTAACAAAATGGTAAAATCCACTTGTCATCTAGCAACTCAATTGCATAGTAGTTTTTTCATGCGAATTAAAATAATTGAGGTTGAGAAAGGTCCAAGAATTCTAGAGACATACGTTAACAATCCAATAAAACCTGATACCCGTAGCCAATCGAAGATCCTTTTGGTTTCCTGAACGTCCGCTTTTGTTTGCCGATCACGTCACGAGGACAATTCACCTGAACACCCCAGTAATACGATTAGTTCCAGCATGCGCTATTATACATAGATAAGTACGTGGCGCGTACATACGGACTGTAGCCAACCATTGACGTCTTCCATCTCCTATATCTGTGTCAATTGATTTTATGATGTGCGACTGGAGGTAAATTATTCATGCATCAGTTGTTTTCGAGTGGTGAGGGTGAATTTTGACGATTAATCCGGTCTGGAGATGTGGTCGTGTACTTCATGGGCAGTCCCAAGGTCTTCAAGGCCTTGTAAAGGACACTCTAATTTCATATTTCATATTGTTCTCCACCCCGATATGGAGGTCGTGTACTTGGCGCCGGTCTTAACGATTTCAAAGGCGCTCTTTAGCCCTCATTTTTTCAAACCGTCAATGAAATTTTAATGACACCGGTTAGCTTCACCATATTAAGACTCCAGAACTTCACGACACCTAAAAAAAAACACCTCCTAGCCGGTCCTATTAAATTGTTTTCCAAGAAGAAATGATGCATGGTAGGGAATGACTTTTTAAATAGATATAATTTAGCAGTGAGAATGAAGAAAATAGTTAAAAATAGTTAAAGTTGTATAATGAGAATGAATGAGAGGGATAGATTATTGTGAGAGGACACAAAGGCGTTGGGATGCTCGATGGTGAAGAGAGAAGGCGTAAATTTGCGTTGATGGGGGTGAAGGGCAGAATGAGGTGGGGGTTGGAAGGTACCCCAGGAAAAGAGCTCTGGGCGAACGTCCCTCGTGTTTGTGTTAATCTTCGGATTGATGTTAGTAGTGGTGAACGCTCGTCTCCATTGGTGTTTCCACCGCGGCGGCAAGCGGCGTTTCACACGTTTCCCGTCATATCCCAGTTCACATTCGTGCGGGACCCCCCGTCGGTGCTATCGCTCAGTCGACCGTTGCTCGTTGCACCAAGTTGATCATCTACGGGGTTAAGCCCACACACATCACGCTCTTTCAATTAGTCATACGTGTCTTCTCCATTCGCCACCAGGAACCACGGTAAAACTTTCTTTAACTCATCTCCAACATCACCAGGACATCACCAGGATATTAGCCAATTTGTCTGATTGGTTGAATTCATTTGATTCATTTGATTTATCTTGTACTTCTGAATTCTTCTGGTTTCTAATGATTGCTCAACGTGTCATGGATAATAAACTTGCGCTACCACTTCACCAGGTATTTTATATTCCATTGGTTATCGTTACTATCACTGCCCTTGTTGCAATGCATGCTCATTGATTAATTAAAGTTGTTCATTTCGAGACGATATGTGGTGGAATTGGGTCGAGGACTTTTTGGCGGGATTAGTCTAGTCTGGATTAAGATCTCTCCACTTCGCGGTTTATTAGAGTTGTCGATCTGTAATGCAGCGCAGATGTCATGCCAGATTGCGTTTCTCAATGGTGAATTTATAAAGAAGGTGATTTAATTTTTCATGGATTATTGTTAGGATGTGTTATTTGTTTGTCGGGTGTTCGGACGTGTGGAGAGATTTTGTGATGGCGTTGGGTGAGGAATGCGCGATTAGGGAGATTTAGATGAACATGACTCCAGAGGGTATTGAGAGGAATTACTTCATCTGTTCTGGGTCATCTCGTCAATTAATCACGTCATTCGGAGCTATTACGATAGGTCAGAAAAATTGGAGCGACGAGTTTTTTTATCTCTTCGAGTCAACCAGATCTCTCTAGTCGATGAACAATGCATCGCCAGAAAACAATTGATAATTCAAGGAATTCTTCCACTCAATGCTCGCCATTTTTATCAATCGAAAAAATCATTGTCAAATCAGCGAAAATTGCTGGAGTGATTTTAAATAATTTTTTAAACTCGTGCAATTTATTGTCCCAATATGTCATTAATTTTCATCCTCTCTCTTTGATTTTCAGATAGAACACAGTTGAGTTGTCGTCCGACAATAATTTTAAAAAAATATATAATCGGAGGGGAAATAAAATTAACGGTGAAAGAGACTTGGGTGCGACGCGTCGTCCTAACGACGTGAAAAGTGTTGCTCAAGGGGGGGGAGGTAAAAATAAGTGATACGTAAGTGGTGTGTGTTTAGTTATTGTGAAATCCAGACTGAAAGGGTCGACATCCTCGGATTATCGATAAAAATTCATGATAATTCGGTGATACATCCACGGATAATTGAGGATAAATGATTAAACAATGTGATATTGAGACGTGCTGGGAACTCAATTAAGTTGACAAATATTTATTTAAGAATTGTACATTGATGTGGGTGTTGTGCACGTGGCGTTCATAATGTGGTCGAATGGCTGAATTATCGGGTGTAAAGCGTGATTAAGGACAAGATTAAGATGTATCCCGCACCGGCCAGACACCCAGCCGCTGCCGTAAGTACAAAAAAAATAATCTCATTGTTTACCCCAATGAGGGGATGTCAATGTCCGCAACCCCTACATCTTTAATTTGTCATTCCTCTCTTTTAACGCATTTTTATCCCTTCCCTGTCCTCCGTTAGACGTATTTATGGATGGGGTATAGGGTAATTGTTTGCTCTACACTTCCTTCTCTACTTCGCCCTTCAAGTTTTTCGATCTATCTCACCCCCGGGGGTAGATACCTCCCTCATGCACTTGGGGACTTTCGGCGTTATTGAATTTCAGCGGTTTTAGATTTTCCTCTCTCACATTTTAAGGCTCGATTTCAAGGCTTTCAAGTACTTTCTACAGTTTTCAATCTTCATATTTGTCAAGTGAATGGAATTATTTACTCTTTAATAGTCCCTCACCGTAAATATATTATTTAAAATAAAACCATAGAAAATTGTTTAATCTCTAATTGCGATTAAAATGGCTGAGTTATTCCAAGGGATTTACCCCAATTTATTAATTTTACGGCTATGGTGCCTTCAAAGTTCATTGGTCTTGGGGCGCTGGAAGTTAATGACCCAGGCGACGGTGTAAATGCTTGTCAAACCATTTACTCTCACGTGGGTGTATATTTCACCGCATGTACATGTCTTTTTCGTTGACTCGAGAAATAATGTGAGAGGATTTGTTTTTGTTTTTTATTCTTTTAAAAATGTCGGCAGGCCGATGTGCTCCTGGGGTTCTTCCGTTTCCTTGCTCTTTATTTTTCATATTTATATGCAACTCGAATAGGTGAGAAAGGGGGAGTGGGTGTGAGGGGGAGGCGGCAAGGGGGGTAACACGCTCTTGGGAGTATAGACCAGGAAACAATGTGCAAACTCTGTGCGCCATGGAACGCTTTGTACAGCAGCCACGTTGTGAATTACCTAGGGACTCAAATTTTTCCTTGATGTACATTTTTTTTTTTTATTCACTCCCCCTTTTCCAGGATTTTTTTAGTGTATTTTTAGTGTAATTTTTCATCTCTTTAGGGAAAACAACGGAGATTGAAAATATTTCATTATAAAGTATGACATTTCAGGTGTTTATTTTTTCTTCAAATATATTTTTTAAAATTAAATTATTAAACGGATTGCCGGTTGAATTGTAGTTGACGTTGCTGCCTGATCAAACGAACGATGGGATAGAAAGGTGAGGCACTGGTGAAAAAAAAAATATCCATGTACTTCCACTCAATTCTCATTGGGACAGAAAAAAAAAAAGAAATTAAATTCAGGGGATGACAATCACTAATCAAATTGTGTCCCCGGTTGATTGTTCGTCGAATTGCCTACGATCGATTTTGAAGGAAATGAAAATTGAAAAGCTCGTGATGTTTTCTCCCATTCTATTTTTTAATGCAATTGCAGCTGTGGGTTAACCCCTTCTGGTTCTGAAGGGGTAAAAATATGTGGGTGAGAGGAAAAAAAAAATGGAATTTATGGTGGCAACGGTGAATTCGCGCCGTAAAATGTACAATCTGTTTGATGACTGTTACGTTTGATGATTGCAACAAGTTAAAATCTCATTTCTCTCGCCCCTCGTAGTGACCCCAATCGTACGGTATATTTCCTGGCTCCTGTGGAAAACCCATCCCCATTTCATCCCCTCTCATTCCCTCTCTGCTGGCCCTCCATGCGGATCAACAAGTGGCCAAATGATTTTCACCGTTGACCGAAATGCGCTGATGAAAAGTTTTGAATTCCGACAATTTGAGGATTTCCACTGTGCAATCTACTGGGAAACCCTGTATCGATGACATTCGGGGGCTTTTCATGGACTGATAACAATTGAGATGTCATTTGACAGGAGCAGTCAATCAGCTCATTGATTTCCCATTAAAATATCAATTTAATTATAATAATCCTTTCAATTTACAAGATTGAATTCTCGGGAAAATATTCTAACAGCGATAGGAATTTTCTCACCAATTTTTCTAGAATGAAAATTATTTTGTTGTGTTGTTTTTCATTATCCCAGGAAATGATATTGCAATTACAATAGCACTTACCTCGGCAGGACAAAATTAATCAAGTTCTCAACATTTTAATTGTTGACAGGGTGGCGGTGGAAGCGGCACGGCTGCGGGCGGTCTAAAGTTCACGGTTGCTGATACTTGCGAAAGAATCAAAGAGGAATTCAATTTCATCCAGCAACAATACCACTCGTAAGTATTAGCATTTCTCATTTGCATTGGTTAGTAGAAACGGCAAAACTCGGATCATTCAGCATCGACCAATTACTTTAACGAGCAATTTGTCTTTTTTTTTTTTCAGGCTCAAACTTGATTACGAGAAATTGGTCAATGAAAAGACTGAGGTGCAGAGGCACTACGTTATGGTAAGTTCTCTCAATTATCAGTGTAACTCCCCAAAGTTTTTTTATTCGAGGTAATTTCAATCCTCGGAAGTACTCCGTTGTACCCGTGAGGGATCAAATGTACTCGCTAATACTTGATTATCGTTTTAACGTATCCTGAACGTCAGGATGACGCACTGGGTAGCGCGGGAAATTGAATGCCTCTGAATGAAATACGGACTGCGATGCGCCAGTCCATTGCGCATTTCCGAATTATATTTTCTATTGTTCACCTGAAATTCTGGAGATGCTTGGAAATTACCCGAATATATTCCCAGTCATCGCCAGAACTATCAACAACTCCGGAAGTAGGAGAAACTTTTCCCCCAAGAGGCCTGACTTAATAGAAATTTCTGGGTAAACGTCAGTTATACTTGCAACATGACAAATCAATTAAAATTTCATGGAAAAAGTGCTGAAAAATTTGACATAAGGTAATTGACATCAGCTAAACACCTAGCCGAGGTCCAAGTACTCTCGAAAAAAACTCAACTCCAGTGACAAAAAAAAAACAAAAAAAATAAGAATGGCCCTAGAGTGACGTAGATGCGAAGATAAAGGTAATTAATCCACGGGTTAGCCTCTTCCGCGATAACGATGATCGTCACAGGAAGACAAGAAACAAGGGTGGATATAGAATTTCACCGGGTCCGAGTGACGAAGCCCTCGAAGACGGAGAGGGACAGATGGATGAGTGTGAATTTACCTCTGTGTACAGAGGTACATGTACGAGTTTAGTGAATTTGTGTTGGGTGATATCTATACGTAGGACTCGGGTAAACTGCTACACCGATGCCACACCGAGACAGGGTGAAAGTGAGGGGTGACAGGGGGTTAAGAGGGGCAGGGCGATGGGGATGTGGTAAGAGGTATGGAAGGGGTGAAAGGGGTGGAAGTGGGGGAATAGACGCGTTGGCGGAGGCGGTGGGGAGGAGTGAGTTGAGCTGGTAATCGATATCACCAAAGTAAACGAAGAGATGGGGTGGATGGGTGGTTGGGTGGTTGGGTGGTTGGGTGGAAGGAGGTTTTTGAGGGTGAAAAGAAGAAGGAGGATGTCGAAAGTTTGTCAGGCTCCCTGGCAAGTATTACACAGATATAGTTTTAAAATGCATTTATGGGGAGGTGTATGCACACCGTTAGAATGAATAGTCTGTGATTGTGTGGGTGAATTTTCTCACGTTCACCCATATCTTCCTTTCCCTCTTCAACATTGCCTACACCTCGAAACCCCACCGCCCACTTTTCTCTGTGATATTCTAATTCGAAAACCGTGAGCATTCCTCCACTCACACCTGTCCCGGGGTAAGGGTGGCACGTCCCTACTCTGGGGGAGGAGGGAATATTATGCTTTTCATTGGGATGAAGGACCTGTAAATCCCGGCGTTATATTCCCTGGGGAAGGGGGCCTTTGGGTTTAATTGTTTTGAGGGGAGGATTTGTTTTAGATTTTATTTTTTTTTCTCCTCCTTTTTTTTTTCGCTTTCGAGGGGAGACGACAGTTTGTATTTATCGACTGGAGATTTCAATGTCGAGTTTGGTGCGACGGTTTCTTCATTGTTTTTAGACGACTTGGAATTTTCACGCGCTATTTACCGAGTTAATTGATCGATTAATGGCTTTATCGTTTGGTATGTTGCAGTACTACGAAATGTCATATGGGCTCAACGTGGAGATGCATAAACAGGTAAATAATTGATATCTGTAATTAATGTCAATAATTTATAGCGAGTTGGAGTGTGCTTTCGGGGGAAATAGTGACTCGTCGAGTCTATCATTTTTCTACTGGGGTGGTAATAACGCGACAATGGGATTGAGGGTGGAATATGTCGGAGTGTTTACCTCTGGGCAATAAGCGCATGTGTGGGTTTGTGAAATTATTGGTTGAGAATTAGCTGTTTCACTTGCACTCGGTACAAATACACACATGGAAGTTCATTAACTATTAACTATCCAGGGAGTTGTGCTTTGGATTTTCTATTTGTAAGTATTCCGAGGATCGATACTCAAGGCAAGTGGTGAAACAAGATAAGTCGACTTTGTAATAAATGACTTTTCGATAGATATCGCTCAATTCGGGGAAAGTAACGAGATTTATTGGAAAAATGTTTATCAGGGAATTTCGGTTGAATATTTTGATTCAGTAGCCGAAGACATAACAAAGACTTACCCTGGAAAATGATACATGCATGTTGTTGATGGTGGAACCTTTTTCACCCGACATTTGCCTCAACCACAACTGCTCTACTTAGGCGTTCGCCGTTTTCCACCGTTTCTGTACTCAACAAACTCCCATTTATTGGCAATGTCCCAGTTTACCCTCAGCGCTCTTTAAATAACCGCGCCACCGCTCTGCGGGTTGTAACGAATAACCAGATCGAATGAATTTTCTTTACATAATTCTCCATTACCTCTACCCCATTCGTCTCCATCACTACTCAAGCATAAATTAATCTTTCGTTCGACTACCCAAATCGTTTATTCATTTCTCACCGTCAAATCAATTTCCAATAAAATATAAAAAAAATTTAAAAACCCACTAAAATAACACCTAATGAAACTAATTGAATATTTTCCCTTTCCCTGGAGTCGACAGAAAGGCATTTCTCCCAGCGTCTAACCAATTGCATATAACTCATCTGCTCCCCCTCAACCCACCACCCCACGGTCGACCCTTTTTTTTTCAACCCCCCCAACGTTTCTCTTTTTACGCCGCTGATGCACCGAACGGCCTTATATATCTATACGATACACACGTCCATCCATCCCGGGATCCGGAATGGGGTGGTGGGCATGGAGTCGCTTTTCCCGCCCGTTTTTCCACTTCCAACCCCACACCCACCACCACCACCACCACCACCACCCCCAACCCCCATAGCCCGTACACATTCCACTGTATCCTCGCGTGCACCCGCGTCTCTCCTCTCGTTCAACGCTGCAAGCGTGTAGTTCGCGTTGTTTTATTTGGCTCTACGGGCGCGCCTGCGAGAGTTCACTCAGGGGGTTGAAGAGGGGGTTGAAGAGGGGTGTGGGGAGCGATGACATCGATTTTTTTACCCGTTGCTAATCTCAATGCCTCTCCCCCACCTTCAACCCCTCAGTCTACCCTCTAGCTTCTGTGTTCCTCTCACTCAACCTCCAAGCGCCACCCCATTTACTTTTTTTTATTTATTTTTTTCCCCCTTTTTTTTTCTACCATCGAGAATCGTTGCTGCATGTGCATCGAACACATTCGAAAAGAAGGAATAACCATTTTTCCCGCGGGGTGTTCGGTGGTGTTTATTTTTTTTTTCCGGTACGAGTCTTGGTTTTTTTCTTTTCTTTTTTTTTTGTCCGTTCTCTTTCACTGTCGAACGTGGATCACGGGAAATTAAAAAAGGGAGTGAGACGGACGCAAACCAACATCCATTCCGCGAAACGAATTTTTTTCGGCGAACGTTCGTTAATGTTTTTTCACAGTTCTTGGGTGGAGGGGTGGAAGCCTTCGCAGGGATCTGATTGCTATCGTTTGCTTGAATGTTGCAGACGGAGATAGCGAAGCGGTTGAGTGTAATAATATCACAACTGATGCCTTGTTTAGCGCAGGAGGTGAGTATTTTGTTGAGGGAATTGTTTTGAATCGCACACATTTTTTTGTACCGTTGATTGACTTGTCACGTGCTCTTTAAAAAGTACTCAAGTCTCATAATTTTGATAGGGAGGGAGGGGAGGAGGCAGGAGAGGTTGTGTTTTATGTTTAATAAGTTGGTGGATCGTTGTACAGTAATTGGAGAGATAATACGACTCTCGGTAACTTTGCAAGTCAAAGTGCTTTACTGACAGGACTATAATGACAGACTGCTTTCAGCACCAGCAGCAAGTAGCCAATGCTGTTGAGAGGGCCAAACAAGTCACCATGAATGAGCTCAATGCTATTCTTGGGGTGAGTTTACTGGTCACGTTTCCTCATCAATAATTTCGTCTCTCTAACAATTAATGAGGATTGACTGAAATATATACACGTGTTGCAACTCAAATGGCATATTTTTATTTTTCAGCAACAGCAGCAGCAAGGTCTTCAGCACCTCTTGGTACGTTCGTTATTTAAAATTCATTGAGATTGTTAATAATAATTGATCACCTAGATGAAGAATTTTTAAAAGAGTGGTTTTTCCAACAGCAACAAATTCACGCCCAGCAATTACCTCACAGTGCTGTTGTTGGAAGTTTACCACCAGCAAGTCTATTGGGCTTTGCTGGAGCAGCAGCAGCAGCTGGTGTACCACCTCATCTTGCACCACCACCTCATCCAGCTGCGGCTGCTGTGGCTGCCCAGGCACAGGCTCTCCTCAAGTCCTCGGATCTTCAACAGCATCGCGCAGCCACTGGTACACCAGAGGACCGAAAACCTATAGCGATACCTGAGGACAGGCTCAGGCGATCTGTCTCACCCTCGGAAAAATTCCGATCGAGAACACCAGAGCTTGAGGGGGACAGCAAAAGAAGAAAAGAGGATAAATTACGCCATGTGAGTTTTATTTTCACTAATTATTTTCATATCATTGTGTGAATGGGTTGTGAAAGATGAAGAGAACCCGATAACTTGCCACAATTTTAATTTATCGTCGACAGTTCACCGACGGAGCAAAATCCGTCAAGTTTTTTGAAATATATTTCACACTCATCGTAATTAAACTCTCTGGAAACCACAGAGAATCTAGCTGTTTTTCACGATTCTTTCTTCGCACAACTCAACGTCCACCTAAATTGGATTATTTTTCACCGGCAATATGTTTTTTTCACCACCCCAACCGGCAACTCCACCTTTAATACTTCTCTATTCGTCTTCGTCCACTACGACATGTAGACCGTGTCGTCGCTAGGTCGTTCCCTTCTTCAGCTGGTTAACCCCACGTATTTCAGTTTAAAACAGTCAACCGAGGAAATTCTAGGTGTCTATCATCAATCTTCATTCCCTCGTCTTCGTCTTTCTTACCTCTTGGATGACGGTTTTTTTTTTCCTTTATCTCCCCTTTCGCACCTCTTAAAAGGCCATGAAACGAATTAATCCCTGTCGTCAGGTTTCGCAATGGACAGGTGTATTTTTATTTGGTGAAAATAGTTGAACTATTCACCGACGGTAGTGGCCGTGCGGTTAGAGTGCTAGACTAGCATGCCAAGGATCCGGGTTCGATCCCGGGCACCGGCGGTCAAAAATTTATAGCGCTCTGATCTCACGGTTTCACTGCCGAGCGGTAGTCCTGTCAAAAGGACGACTGTACCAGGGCAGGTTTTTCCCTCAGATGAGGTTTTCCCTCCCTTCAGCAAATGCGGTACAGGGGTTTGGGGGGTGGGAAGGGAACAAATCGTAAAAACCCGAAAGGGTATACGAGTGAGAGAAAAAAAAATAGTTGAACTATTCTCGAGATAACTCGTTATGGTAGACTGGGGTTTTTGAATGGAACGAGTCGTATTCGTGACTCGAGCGATGCATGACAGACAACGGAGATGAGCTTTCAACGTCGTAGACTTCAAAACCCGAGGGTTCAACCAGGCATTCATGGGGAGAGCAACCTAACATCAAGGCTCTTGTCTAGTTTCTCATAATCTTGGGGATCGATCCTATGTACATTTTTCACCGAGAACTTGCCAAAGAAAAATTCACAATTCTCAACAAAGTCCAGAACTAAATAAAAACCAAATTGATTTTTTTTTTCATTCCACCAATTGGCGAAAATTCAACAAAAAAAAAAAAACCGATAAAAACAAAGAAACGAGCCCTGCAGTTATGACTGTCCAACAAAACACAAACAAATAATCTCCCGAAGAAAAAAAAATCCCGTAAAAATAAAAGCAAAACCGAAAAACCGGGCAAAAATGAAATGGGAAAAGATGGGTCGAGGGTTGAGATAGAACCCGAAAGAGTTGAAAAAAAAATGAAAAAAAAAAAAGGTTGTACCGAGGGAGTAAAAGCAACCAACCAACGGCGTTGGACAGTGACGAGCTCTCCGGGTATAGCTAGGACCCACAAAATAAACTGAAACCGCCTTTATCCCTCCCCTCTCGTTTTTTTTTTATTCCTCTTTTATGCCTCCATCTCTGTTCCACCCTCTCGATCCTTCCCGGGCACCCGGTAGCCAAATAAATTACACCGCCTCGTGACGCGAAAAAAAAAACATCCAACGAGTTGCGAGCGTGAGTGAACGGCTTGAAGAGGAAGCAAGAGCGACAGAGGGTGGGAGAGATAAAAAAAAACGTACTGAGGGGGTTGGGGGTGGGACACGGACTGGATCTGGAAGGGGGCAGCCGTGGTCCACTTTAATTGGTTCGACGTGGTCAGATGAAAAATTCAACCCTTTCTTTTCCCCATTTTTACCCAGTCGAGGACGAGAATAGTCGGTACTGGGGTAAATCTTGATAGTATCCTCCAGACAAGTAATGAATTAACTCCTGGGGACTTGTCGTTTTTTTTTTCTTTAGTTTTTTTTTTTTATAAAATAGAATCGTTCAACAACCGAGACAACAGCTTTATGGTCATCTAGGGGTTGAGCTCACGGAAAATCAAGGGCTAGATGCGGTATCACTCCCACATCCCCCGATATATATTTTCACCCCAGGAGATTCAGCAACACATTAGAACACAAATTCTCACGGCACTATTGTTTATTCTCCCACGCCCTCTCTCGATATAAATATAACGGAATAGAAGTGAAAATTGTGAGTGGAGTAGAGAAGTGAAGAGCGAAGGAGGAAATGAATAAAAAAAAAAAAGCAATTTTTACTGGGGAAAAAAATGAATAGAGGGAAAAAATAGAGGAGAAGAGAGAGAGAAAAAAAAACAACAAACCCCCGAGAAGAGAAAGAGGGTGGCTATGATGACAAAACACTCGCTCTGACCTTCCGCGTGATGGGGCGAGAGGGTTTCCGAGAGTGGGGAGGTGAGTTGAGGTTGGGTTTTTTTTTTTTTTTTTCGAGGGGGTGGGTTGGCGTGGAAACTGCCAGAGGATGGAAGGCAAAGGAGAGGCGAGGGGTTGGTAGTTGTTGGTGTGAGCCGAAGAGGACACAAGGGGCTCGTGGAAATGAAAGAGGATGGAGAGCTGGGTTTGAGGGAAGAAAGATGGAGAATGGGCGGGGATGGGGGGGTTGGGAGGTTTATACCCATCATTTTGTATTTCTCGCAGACATAAAAATCTATACTATCCCATCCCTCGACATTTTTCCCACCCACGGGATATCCAGAACCTCTGCATCACACCAAACATTCACCATTCTCCAACGGGTGAAAATAATCTCTTGCTGGAAAATTTAAGTCTTCGTTTTGGGGCTTTTTTGACATGTGGGGGTGGTTTGTCTTCGTGGCCAAGTGCCAGCGCCTAATGATTTCGACTTTTTTATCGCCGGCGAATTTCTTTCACCTGCATAAAAAATAATACCGGTAAAGTTCAGTCGAGAATTACTCGTTCGGGCAATTAATTCGGAATAATCTCGAGGGATCTTGAATTCAGTTGAATGCTCCATTTGGTGGTTTTTATTTTGGGAGTCGAGGATTTCGGGTGTTAATTTTGATGAGTAGAGATTATTCTGAAGAGTGATGGATATTTAATGGGACAGTGGAGAACGAGAACCTTTCGAGATTTGTTACTTGAATATTTGATGATTCTCTAGGATTGGACAACGAAAATATCATTTAATATCGAATATTTTCACATCCGTGAGCTCTAATAACATTATCACATTTATATGGCTATTGAGAATCGTTAAATAGATCTGGTGTGAATTATTCGATAGACTATTTTGCCCCCGTTGAAATAAAATGGTGGGAAAGGTGGGTGGTGGGTGGGTGGATGAAGGATAAAATGGGAAAAAGTGACAGACAACAACTCGAGGCTTTTGCAGCACCTGCAGACGAGAAGAGCTTGCTTGATCGAGTACAAGCGAGCTTTAATGCTATCACTCTGTGTTCAACTGTTGAAAGAGACAGAACAAAAGAGGGTGAGGTGGAGTGAGGTGGAGTGAGGTGGAGTGAGGTGGAGTGAGGAGGAAAAAGAGGCGAAGATGAGAGACAAAAAGAGAGTGGAGAAGGGTCGTTGGTGGTCTAAGCAGTGCACGGTGAATGGAATGGAAGGGATGATAACATTTGTATCATATTTAACGGTAGAGCGGTTAGGGTAAGGAGAGGAATATACACCAATTTTATCCCCCCCGTTCCCCCTCCCATTCTCCCCCAACCCCACCTACTCTGCTCCATCTACTTCTCAACATCGTCTCTCAAATCTCCTTTCCCTATTCCATCTCGACAAAACCAACCCTCGTCACCCTCACCTATAACCCAGTGAAATCAATACCAGGGTATTGAAGCCACGTATGCAACAATATTTATTGTAACGCTATTTTACTCGTTTTTATCATTATATTGAATTTTGGCATTTGTTATTACTTCCAAGTGGTTGCAGGCTCAGGACAAATTTATGATTATAAAATCAATTAATCAATCAATTAATAAAATAGGATAGAGGCTTTGTGTGGGAACTATTCGGTATGTTTGGATAGATTTTTCACAGCAATTGGAGTAACACGGAGAAAATTCAATTGCATCATCAAGCGAATGTACTTAAACCGCAGGAAATCATTGACTATTATATGTAGATTTTGGGTATTCGTGATTTGGATTTTGATGTAGAGCGTGTAGAGGTGGATGGCAGGCATTAAAACAGTTGAGCCCATTGATGGTGAGTAGATGGACGAGTGGCTGGGCCCTTGGTGCCTACCAAATCAACCCCCTTTATCCGCCCCAACCGCGAAATCGCTTCCGCCGTACAGATGGTTTTACGTTTCGCCATCCACCGCAATACGTTACGTATTCACGCACATGCTCCACGTGGATCAACTCCTCACCTCTCCAATCCCTAATTTTCTCTTCATCTCCCCGGGTGATGAATTGACGAGCCCAAAATCGAATACTTTGGATGATTTTACCGAGGGTTAATGTGATGTGAATTACTGGAATGACTGATTCTAGAAAATGATTCGCCAAGAGTATCGACGAGTCGGAATTATTGTTGTCATTGTTTTATTAGGAGAGCGATGGGGAGAAGAGTGATCAGGAACTCGTTGTGGACGTCGCTAATGAGGTAAATCTCCTTGAAATTCTTTGAGGAAGTGGATAAACGTATCCCAGATAAAACATTACATTTTACCCCTGATCACTAATTTTGAGGGGGAATTTATTTCAGTTGTTTATTTATCGAGATGGAATAAATATATTTCAAGTTCTCTCCAGGAATGCCTCATTCCCGAGATAAACGCGTCGTTATAATCACTTTATTCCACTTCTCTCAATTGCCACCGTAAAGATTAACATGGAACTTGAGGTCGGAATTTTTTCAAGGAGGCTTCATCCCCCCACGCCAATGGTGAACACTCGGATCACCGGGAGAACGGTACATTTGAGAAAATTGGCCACCCTGGGGCAGTATCGAGTGCAGCAGCTTCGATTAAGGAGCGACCCCCCTCGCGAAGTGGAAGCTCATCGGCTCGCAGCACACCCTCACTGAAAAGTAAAGATGTAAGATCTTGCCCCGAGCAAGTGGAAAATAATAAAAGCCTCACATAAATATATGGCTGAGGGGTGTTGGGGGTGTTGGATTATTGAAATCTAGTGATAGTCTATGGAATGAATTGCAGATCGACAAACCGAGTACACCGGTAGCGGCAGCGAGGGGATCGCGCAGTTGTACACCAACTATGGGTCCAATCCCTGGTGCCTTGGGGTCCCGGGTCTATCATCTGCCATCTTCGCAGCAAACAGCGCTGCAGGGCTATCAGGGTTTGCAGTCCCGAGGCAATGAGACACCTCAGTCTCCCTCTTCTTACAATAGTTTATCTTACTCAAGATCGTTGGTGGGCTATCTCAATAAAATCTCCAAAATAAATACCGCTGATAAAGTCTTTGCATCTCCAAAATAAATCTCTTTTTTTTTCAGCTGGGTTTTGATGGTCACGTAAGGGTACCCTCGGCAAACGGTTTGAGCAATATTCCTGGTGGTAAACCGTAAGTATAATATCAATTCATCTTCTCGATAAAATAAAATTTCTATTGGCAGATGTGTGTAATTCCTTTCATTCCAGTGCATACTCCTTTCACATGAACGGTGAAGGCCAGCTCCAACCAGTTCCTTTCCCAACGGACGCCCTGGTGGCACCTGGGATTCCACGCCACGCACGTCAGATGAATACGCTGACCCACGGCGAAGTTGTCTGCGCCGTGACAATATCAAATCCCACGAAGTACGTCTACACCGGTGGAAAAGGTTGTGTAAAGGTGTGGGACATTGGCCAGGCTGGTGGAAGCACCAAGCCAGTGTCACAACTCGACTGTCTACAGCCAGACAATTACATACGATCTGTCAAGCTGTTGCCCGATGGAAGAACCCTCATAGTAGGTGGTGAGGCCAGTCAGCTGAGCATCTGGGATCTCGCCAGTCCCACACCCAGGATAAAGGCTGAGCTCACATCATCAGCACCTGCTTGCTACGCCCTCGCCATCTCACCGGACTCCAAGGTGTGCTTTTCCTGCTGCAGCGATGGAAATATCGCTGTCTGGGATCTCCAGAATCAGTCACTCGTCAGACAATTCCAGGGACACACCGATGGTGCCTCCTGCATTGATATCTCAGCTGATGGGGCTAAACTATGGACTGGGGGACTTGATAACACTGTCAGGTCGTGGGATCTCAGGGAGGGAAGACAGCTGCAGCAGCATGACTTTACCTCGCAGATATTTTCACTGGGGTATTGCCCCACTGGCGAGTGGCTTGCTGTTGGCATGGAGAACTCCAATGTCGAGGTACTTCATGCCAGTAAGAGTGATAAGTATCAGTTGCATCTTCATGAGTCTTGTGTGCTATCGCTGAGATTTGCATCCTGTGGAAAATGGTTCGTATCAACTGGAAAGGATAATCTACTTAATGCCTGGCGCACACCTTATGGGGCATCAATATTTCAGGTGAAATGTTTTACTTTTTATTGGTGGATTTTATTGCAGAGTCGCTGATTGTTTTTTTTTTTTTTTTATTTAATTGATAAAATTCTTGATTTTCAGTCGAAAGAATCTTCATCAGTTCTCAGTTGTGATATTTCTGCTGATGATAAATTCATCGTGACAGGCTCTGGTGACAAAAAGGCAACAGTTTATGAAGTGATATATTAATTAAGGAACTCTGTGGAGTGACATTTGTACAATTTTTTCACGTGTATATAGGAGAGCTGGTGAACAACGAAAGTGTGATTATGATCCTTAGATGCCTAGGTTGTATCATAGAGGTGAATCGTGGGACATTACCAACGACATAAAGTAATTTCATTCCTAAGAAAGGCCATTTGCCCCATGTGCCACGTACTGTGTACATTTATTTTAATTAGAGTACTTTAATTTTCAGTTTAATGCGTGCATTGTGTAATTATGCTTGTGGACGATCTCTCATGTACAAATCTGATGTTTTATTAGTCGAAGGAGTTACTGCTGAGTTTAGTAATTTGGCACTTTATTTTTTCTTCAATCTAGTTTTGCATTTTATTCTTCACCGTTTGACCATTCGAAAAATTTAATTGACAAAATGGGTGTTGACAAGATTTAAAATTTTGCATACCAGTTTGAAAGATCACTTGTAAATACCGACAATTTGGATTATCAGTTGAATTTTTCATCATATTACTACGAACTTCAGAGTATACTATCGAATTTGTGATAAAAAAGAAAAGTGGAATAGCTATTATGAAAGTGGAATATGCGAGGGAATTACAAAATGTTTGATATTTATTTATCGTTTTTTTATTCATCGAAAGATTCAATAATTCTTGATCTTCATCTATCAGTGTGATATAAAAATAATTAATAATACCGAATAAAAAGAAAATACCCATTCATTTAATCCACAGATTATTCCCAATGATGCAAATAAAAAAAGAACAGGTGGTACTACCTCTCAAATTTCATTATTTTTATTTTTGGTAACCACTAAGTATTTACATTATTTAGTACGTGTAATTAATGTATACAAGGTTCATTAAAAACATTAAATGTTTATGAATTCACGAGCTATTGCCTCCCTAAAAATTCACGTATTTACACGTTCATTGTGTACAGGATAAAAAAAATTAACTACTAATTCATTCAATTATTGACATCCACTCATTATCATTTTTACAATCGTCAATTTAATTTCCAGTTGAATATACATGTACACTTAACCCTCTAATCATCGACGTCGATATGTATATACAGGTATAAAAATTCGATCGACGTACCAGGGAATAACGCCAATCACTGATTCATTAATAATAATTTCAAAGGGTTTAGCTCGTGGATTTAATAAGGAAAAACCTTGTAAGGCATTAATTATTATTCAAAACACTCGACTCATTAATTTTTCCACATTCTCTCCCTTTTCCATGTTATTTAATATGTACAGTTTACAAATACATAACACAGGTATTTAGTCCACCTAACAATCGATTTAACAGGTGATTTACACTGATAAGATAAGCCCTTCACTCTCAAAAAAAAAAAAAACAATTGTATTATATTGAGTAAAAAAACGTAACGAACGACTCGATCGACTGATTTGATCGATGAAATTGGAGCTGAAGTGGAAGAATCATTCGCAAATCAAATCAATAAACGAAACCTCGTAAATTTACTCAGTTCAATGCAAATCGATAATTATTAATTACACACGTGGAAAAGGAAAAGAATGTACAAGATCAAAGTAAAATAAGAACTAGTCATTGTTAACGAAAATAATTCACTTGGGGTTTTCTGTTAAATAAAGGAGGAACGTTCAACTTCAATTTCACTCTCACATCAGGATTGTATCTCTCACTGATTCACTAATTGGGATGCGCAGTTATTCATTGCGAGCACTTAGGGGGATTTTAAGTCGTTGATTATGCCCAGTAATTATCACCCGATGTATTTGAAAAATTAACCGCCATTCGCGGACTGGTCAGTCACTGTCTGAACCCACTGGGTTCATCTTTTTTCTCTTCCTGGCTTGCTTTGGCTTTGCAATCAATTCGTCCTGAAAAAACATGAATTATCATTGAATCATTTCCATTAATAAATTAAATGGATGGAGATAGAGGATTCACATCATATCTTCAAATGGAGATATCGCAGAGGATTTATATGAGGAGGTGATTAATGAGTAACTAACGGAACATCAATTATTATTCTCATAAGACATTCGCCAATGCATTTGAAAATAAAAATAAATCTTCTGCGCATGTGTATCGCTATCGAGTTGACCCGCTCAACGGTGGAGCGCATGCGGGAGGCTGTGGTTCAGGCGCCAAACGGAAGTCAGTGTTTTGTTGTCTCAGCGGCGCGAGAGGCACCTCGAGTTGCGCAGTCCATGTGAAACAGTCGATTTATCAGTATTTAGTGACCAGTACTTAATTTGAATCGCGGGAGTCAGTAACAAAGGACCTGGCCAAGGGGGAGGTCTCTAATTTTCCGGTGTCATTATGTTTTTTGGCGAATTAACAAAGAACATGTCGCGAGAATTGTCCGGGTAATAATCCTAAACGATTGATTCATTGTTGAAAAGAGTTTGTGTGTTGTTTAAAAGTGTTTCCAGTCATTTGTGTGATGTGATGAACAATTTTAAAAAATTAATCGGCTAATTATGTCGATGTGCAATGTATTACCGATGAAATCGAGACGAAGGACTAGATCCAAAAATTTTATGGAGAAAATTAGATGTCGAAAAATTCCATATTTTTTTATCGCGGTGAGGCTCATGTGAATTTTTTACAATTTATTAATTAAAACGAGGGATTAATTATTGTTAATACAAGTCGACGAGTGTTGAGAAGGAATAAATTTTGGGGTGCGATAAATACTTTCAACGGATTACCCAATCAAACATGGGAATTTCCGATATTTTTACCGCGCGATTTTGGAACAAAGCATCAGACAGCGTCGCCCCCAACCATCTACCTTTGTTTACAAACAGTTGAGCTGCGGCGAGTTCCGAGAATTTTTATAAGCCGAAATAACTGGAAAATCTCGTTCAGTTCATTTTATCTTATTTTTTTTTTGTGACAATGTGAAGTGAGTGAAAAGAAAAGAAGGAGGATAGCAGATTTGGCGGGCACTGGCGGAAACAAATGAAGGGAAATGCCGAAGAACAAATTTCGATTATTACGCAAGGGCGATCGTTCGAAATGGAAAAACGTATTTTTCATCCAACGCCGGTGAGTCACCCCACCTGACTGACTTATCAATTTTTTTTCTTTTTTTCAAACAAGACGAGGGATTATGACAATTAATGTCTCGGTAGACATTGAAATAATTTTTTCAGGGGAAAATATCGAAAATTATTTTAAAAAAAAATGTCTAGGCGTTTTATAGGTTTGCGTTAAATTCGAGTCGATCCACTTTACCATTTTCGTTACTGATTTTCGTACCTCACTACTTTGTTCACTACTCTCGGTACCCCTATCTCTTGGTGGTGGCCGTTTATTAGCTGATCTCTCTCGGGTGCTTGCCCCGACTTTTCTGTGGCCCTTTCCTCCAACGGATGATCCACCGTGTTTTTTCGAGGTAGAAATAGGTGGTGATTCGTTCTCCTCGTTAACTTCAGCAAGTGCAAATAGATCCCCGTAGCTCTTCCTCAGAGAGTCACTGCTGGCTGCTTGTGCCTGCTGGAGTGCCTTCTGCATGTTCTCAGTCTGGTATAGCTGAAGGTCAGCCGAGGCACGGCAGTGCTGTCTCAATTGATCGAGATGCCCTAATACTTGTTCACCAGTTGGTGGACCTGTTGCCTGTTGATTCTGTTTGGCTCCTGCTCGTTTTCGCTTATTAGGGCTAGTTGCCGGATACCTCGTGCTGAGTAAATTAGCTAGTAGTTCTCCTAGTTTATCCTCGTAATCGCGACACCAGTATCGAAGCGCTGCCACCACGAACATGTCGCCGTCTGTGTTTTGGCGGGTGAATAATTGTCTCAGTAGTTCTGGAGTTGGTCTGGGATTCAATAAAAATTAATTCGAATAGTCAATTGATTTTGAAAAATTATAAATTCAGTGGGATATTTTACCTCTCTTGCTTGAGCATAAATAAAATAGCTGTGAGTGCCTCGGCATGATCCCTAAACTGGAGTTTTGGTAGAACAGGTAGAACATATTTGATGGGAAAATCGTGTGCAAATGTCAACTGCCAGAAGCAGTACTGCTCGAATGTTTCCCAATTCAAACTGGCAGTGAGGAGATTCATGAATGAGTCCTTCTCCAGCATCTTCAGCTGTCCCTGCATTATCTGACAGACCAATTCCTGAAGTTGGCAGGAGTCAACTGTTGACACCACCAGGTGCAACAGTTGGGCATTGCCAAGGGCTATGCCCTGGAATCCTGTAAATACGTCTGGCAGAAGATAGCAGAGGAGGAATACACTGTCTTCATGACACAACTAAAAGCCGGACAATTTAATAATTAACTCATAATTCAAGTTTTTAAGGATTAAGAGAATTGGGGAATTATTACCTTGAGATCTGTCAGGAGACACGTCTCCAATTTTTTGTCTCTCTGGGCACAGAAATCTTTGTAGACAGAGGCTTTGACTTCACTCGTGACATTGCTAGCAAGACCCTCTCGTTTCTCCTCCTCTCGACCCCACACTTTCAAAAAATAAAGGAGAAGATATCCAATCCTTGGTTGAATCTTTTGCAAATCCGCCAGGACATGGCCAATGAATTTCTTCCTGTTGTCCTCCTCCTGACACAATTGAAAGAAATTACGAAACATAACGAACACTGGAGTGCTTATCGTGTCAGTTAGAGCCTCGTCGTTTGAACTATCAGCTGGAAATATCGAAGCTGTTATCTGGGGTTCCAAAATGGTAGATAGACACGTGACGAGGGGTGAAATCATGTCAGCCCCTACGTCATCCTCGATTATCATCTGCACGATTTTTTCCATTATCTGGCATTTGGATTCATTATCTGTTTCTGTGTATAAATTCTCAACTGCTCTTTTGAGCTCGTCAGGCTCAATTATTAGGTTGAGACGGGATGTCAGTTCGTCCTCTTTTTTTATGCAGTTTGAATTCTTCTGCTCTTTTTTTAGCTTGACTTTGGACAGGGGCAGGTCCTCGTCGTCCTCCTCAGAGTCGACTTTCGTTATCCTCAGCATTTCCTCGTCCTCGTCGTCACTGAAGGCCGCCTCGTGGTCGTGATCCAAATGATTATTCTCGCTCATCCCCACACTGTTGTCCAGCATCAGACCTGGACCGTAGTCCTTCAGATCCTCGATTTTACCTGAATATAGTGAAACCTTATTACCTGGTGCTGAGGTAATTTTGGGTTTAAAATAAATTCTGTTAGTGGAAGTGTTGGGAAATTTTAAACATAAAAGAACGGAAAAATCATGAAAATTATATCAATGAGGCAATCGAAATATCAAAGGTGGAAAATTTTTGAAATAATTCGTGCATTATCGATGATAAATTTAAAAAAGTCACCAGGATCAGCATTGGGTGGTAGACAAAATTCCTTGAATGTCTCCCTGATTTTAGCCCTCAATTCACGATCCAGCTTTAGGCTGTCAAAAAGTGGATACAAACTTGGTAAAACTCGTTTCTCAAGTATTTGTTTGAGGGACGAAAATATTCCGTTTCTAACCTTCTCCGTCAGCGTTGGATGAAAGTTTGGGATTATCTGTAGAATAATGTCCAGTGGCAATTTAATTTTTTTTTTTTATATTAGATAATAATAATAATATTGAGAGAATAAACTCACCCTGCAGAGAAAGTCTAGTAGTGTGGCAGTGACAGCAGGATGTGATCTCATCGAATTGTGCATAACGAGAATAGCAGGTTCAATGTTCATGATATTGTCCTTCTCAGGATCAAAGAATAACCAGTCATAGAAAAGTGCCAATTTAGCATTGCTAGTGGCAACAGTTGATGTGCACGTTGTCAAGAGCCACCCAATGACTGCCCACCTGGGAATAATGTCCGAGCAGAGTAGCTCATTGGTTGGATGTATGACACCGACGATGAATCGTATCAGATCACACCTTAGTGATTGTGATTCTGGTGTTGCCAGATACTGTCTCTGGAACCAGTCCTGGTACCTCTTGTGATTTCCAAATCTCACTTGACCTGTCAGAAATACAAGTTTTCTCTCCATATCAGGTGTTAATCTCGATTGTAGAAACCTCCTCGATGTTCTTGTCTCCAGGAGCTGGATAATTCCAGTGAAACTCGGACAGATAGTCTTGGGATTGGTCAGGAGGTCCCTCCAAAGAATCTCAAACTCCGGTATTCTCGCGACATTTTGCAAGAGACGCACTAGGTCTCTACCTATCACTAGACAATCCACCATTCGTTCTCGTAGGAGAGAAACTGTGAAAATTATTTCCTTTTGTCTGAGAGTCATCAGGTGGGGGGCACTGTGGTCCTCGATCAGTCTGAGGTATGTGTAGACAATTGAGGCGACGAGGAAGGGGAATTTATCGAGCCAGGGTCGACACTCCTGGAATATCTCCAGAAGTGCCTCGACTAAGTAAAGATTGCGAGTTGATGTGTCACCACCTGCTGCATGCCGCAGAAGGCTCAGGCATAGATTGTCGATTCCAGTTACACTCGTTCTTATCATTTCACGGAGAAGCCAGAGTAGTTGAGCTCGGCTTGTGTCGTCAAGGCGTAGGTAACGATCGAGCACTAGCTGGTTCAGATGAACCAACACAACTGCCAAGCCGTCACGTGTTATCAGGGTTAGGTCGCGATAGCTTTTTATTGCCTCTACTGGATTCGTCAGAATCACCATGAGAAGACCTAAGGACACTTCCTCGTGGGCTTTTTCTTTGCATACTGCGTTGCTCAGGGTATCGTGGGCCTCTTTCTCCGAGAGGCCTGCTGTCAGGCTCTGCAACACTGAGTGACATCTCTCGAATTTCTGAAAATAAATTCATTCATTCCGTTCAATCATGTCCACGAATTTGACTTTTTATTCTTCATTAGTATTATAATCATTTTAATTCAATGATTTTTTCAAATCTCCCGCTGTTATAACCAAAAAAAAATGCGAAACGTGGCGCCTCCAAGGAAGCTAGAAAATCCCCCCCAATTTCTCCCACAACTCGTAACAATGGTGGAAACATGGAGACAACTCCCGCACGAAAAAATATTTTCCACAATTTCACAGAAAAAAAAAAACATTTTTTTTTTAATTAAAATAATACGTATTTCAATATAAAATGGTGTTACCTCCTCCAACTCGTCCTTGTTCTCGATGCACGACGTTGTAAATAGCTTGGACGTTATAACTTTAATCTGTTCCATCGTAGCACCAATGTTGTTACACCAGTGATTATAAAGTGATTTAAAAACCAAAAAATACACGTTTTATTACAATATCTCTCATCGGTATCTCCACATATATATGTATACATATACACACACATATGTACATACATATCATGTATGTGTGAGTATGTGATAATCTCGTGTACGTGTTCCTATATACATATACATATATGTATCCGAGGATGTTTGGGGGTCCCTCAAAAATCCCTCGGTCCCGTTCCCCTGGCGCTCTTGCTCTTCCTCTGGGTCTTGCTCTTCTTCTGGCTCTGGCTGCAGTCACCACCGTGCATCATGTGTTTTTCAGCCCTCCTCCAACTCTATCCCTCTCTTTCTCAACGGCGGATTACTCCGCTATACCTCCTCTACGTGAATATATATATATGTATATATATATATTTTTTTTTTCTTCTGTTCGCCTTCCTCCTTTCCTCCACCTACGGGTACTCTCCCCACCTTGATATATTTTATACTCTCACTCGAAAATGTCTCTGGGCTCTCCGGTGTATGCTGCCGGTATCCTCACGTTATTCCACTCTATCTCACTCTGCTCTGTTTATGCCTTTCCTCGTGTCGTACCGAGCAACCCCACCGCAAGACAGTTCCTGTGCGATTGCGCATAACACCACCTTACACCGATCCTCCCCACTATTTTACCCCACATCTACCCCCACCACTTATTATGCCCCTTCTTACTACCAATCCACCAATCGCAAATCTTTATATGCATTTTGCTGTGGTTTTTCCATAATCATGGTTAAGGGAGGGGGAATATCATTTCAATTAGAGGGGGAGAGATTTTTTTCACTTGCGCAGGCGCTGACGGGAGCTTTTCAGGGGACGATGTGGCAACTTTTGGGGAGAGATGATTGGAGATTCAGGCATTTTTTATTGCTTTGTGGTTTTTTGGAATTTTGTGTTAATTATTTGCGATGTATATATATTTTTTTACTTTGGAGCCACTGGGGGCTGTGGGGGTGGGAGGGCAATCAACGTGGGGTACTCGATTGATATTGGGAGGATCTTCTTTTTTTTTTTTTCTTATTGTTTTTTGGTTTGATGGGGAATATGTGGGGTGATGCTTGGGGGATGATTGAACGCTTCATTTTTGGGAATATTGATGGGCATAAAGCGGATTGGGAGGGTGAGAGGCTCTTGTTAAGGTTATGTTTGGTCAAACGATGATTATTATTAGTACGAGGGTGTGTGGGACATCCTGGGAATTTTTTTTATTCTGTCATCTATAGGAGGAGATTCGGGGATTTATTCAGTTCTTGTTTCCAGGGTTGATACACTGATTTTTGCATGATGAGGTTATGTTCTTTGGTCTGATTATTGCTATTATACTGCTCTCATGGGGGTGTGCAGGACACCCCATTGATTTTTTTTATTATAATTTCAATATATCAATTCTTATTCGGCAAATGGTGATCTCAGGAGATTGACGAGGAGTTTCTGAGTCTTTCCTAATCACTTGAGTTATTTGTCAAATTTTTTTCTCTCAAAGATCTTCAAGTCGTTCTTTATTTCCGCCTTGAAATCAATATCGCAGGCGTTTGTTTATGCCCGAGTGTTGCTGATTATTTTTTTATTAATGTAAATTGTACTTTTTTCTCGGGTTATTGTGGCTGGCTATTTGTCGTCAGTTAAATTGTAATATTCACGTATAACGGAATAATGAGAGGCATTGAATGAGTTATCGCATTGTGAGTAATTGCACATGTGCAGGCATGCGTTGAGCTGCATGAGAGCATTGAATTTTTTTTTCTTCTTTTTACTTGATTTTTTCGTATGGAGTTATGGGAGATTACATCAGCGATGAAAATGAAGTCGTGAATCATGAATTTATGAGTATTAAATAATTGAGAATTGTTTAGGGAATTAATAAAGGAAAAGCTCCAGGGAATAGGTTAGGAATAGGTCAGGAATGGGTAATTGTTTTGGCAGCTTTTGTTCTCTTATTGAAGGGGTTTTTGAGGTCGAGAGGATGAACTCGTAATTGCTTTTTCGTATGGGTAGTTGTTTGCGCAATTGGGCATACGAATTGTACACTATCGGCTTGCATGAGAGGCAGTGATGCTTCAGGGATTATCATGAGAGGTGAAGGGGTTTCAAGTACTAGCTTTCAATTATTATTATTATTATTATCATTTTTCAACGGCGTGGCTCCATCTTCATTGACGTTCATTTATCCGGGGAATGTGAGAAAATTTGAGAAATAAAAATAAATAATGGGGGCATTTATTTGAATCGCTTTTTATTCGAATGGTACATGAGCGTCTCATGGAGGTCTTCAGCCTCCAGATTATAAAATTTTATGACTAGATATTTATTTTTTCAAGTATTTATTCATGGGTGAGAGTAGAAAGGTGGATAATTGAGAGAGGAATGTTACAAGTAGTTAGTGCATGAAAAGTAAGGGAGGGTGGAGTTGATGATTTATTAAATCTTTATCTGGAATTTATTAAATTGAAATTATTTTTAATTGCATTAGCTGCACTAGAAGCTGACTCTTTCACCCTCGAAAATGTACTGATGCAATCATTTTGTTTATGTCTCACTGAATGTAATTCCCCTTGACTTCCGGAAGTCGAGGGGAATGTCAATGAAAATGCCAAGGATTACAGGGAAAACGTGTGAACACACTGGGTTACGTTTTACCCTTTTTAAATCTCTGACGTGCCTGTGCTTTACTGTATTTAGGATGTTTGTCGTAATTCTTGTCGGTTTCATTCTCACTTTGACTTTCTGGATTTCCCTCTCCAAGAAGATCAAATGGTGGTTCCAACAAGGATTTCCTCTGACATTTCACAAAGTAACGAAAGCCTTTGGCTATTGCAAAACCCAGCATTGCTATGGAAATTGTCAAAAGGGCCATCAATACTGGATGCTGCAAAGAACATCATCATTTTATTATTTGAAAAAGTTTAATTGCTCAATATAATATCTCAATATTAATTGCATGGAGTATTAATTACCGTTAGTGTCGGCTTATTAGTGAAAACATAATCAGCAATTACGACAATTACACCGAAAATTATTCCAACACCGGCTCCAAGCCAGGGTATCTGCTGATCCGCTGGAAACACATTTTTTCTCCCATAAAATCTATATTTAATTCGAATCCACCTCGACTCACCTCTCTGGTCCTTTATTAGCGATCTCGTCGCTTTATTGATAGCTTCTAGAATGTCAGGATCGTTAGGCTGGAGATTTAAAGCTTGACCGTAGGAGGTGAGAGCTTCGCTGAACCGAAACGTGTGGAATTCCACTTCCGCCTTGCGGTAGTATCCCTGTCAATTATTTATTTTAAAAAAATAATTATATTCATCTTTTTACCCCTTTGGTTGGAATATTTCATGATTAATGGCACCTTTGTCCAGGCTGGATTTAGATTGATCGTCATCAATGCGTCTTCCATGGAAAAATGAAATTGCTGCATTTTTAAAAAAACGTAGGATCGATTGCTGTACAGCGAGTAGTTCTTGGGGTCTAATTTTATTGCGTGGGTGTAATGAAACATTGCCTCGGCGTATTTTTCATGCTTCACACAGTCGTTGCCCTGTTCTTTGAGCTTTAACACCTGGAGATAGTATTAATATGTATGATAATGTATGGGTGTCATGTGATGGCTTGTGATGGTTTTAAATTGATGAGAACGCTTGTGGAATTATTCATGAGAATTTTTCAACGTCACCTTGTCTTTATCTTCGGTCGTCATGATTGAATTAGGTGACTGGTGGTCTTGAGGGGTTCGATATCACAGGAAATTCTCCTCCACAGTTATGTTACGTCCTGTTGAAAGTAGCTTATCAAATTTTATCATCAGTCAATCATAAGTATGAATTATTTTTTTATGATTGAACTGGATGCAGTGCGATAGCCTTCAGATTGCACTCATTCTTGATAATTATTGTAATCTTCATTTTCAACGTGAGAAATATGTTATGGCGCGGTGGATGGAGGCAGCCATTTTTTAAACGCAAGGAACGATTTTCATGGAGCTTTTTAGGAAGAGTTTCTAGTCATGATTCGCGGATGAAATTTGAATTTGGAAATTTTCGATATTATTAGAATGCAAGGGACAAATTGAAAACAAAAAAAAAATTACCATGATCTGTGAATTTTCGCCGAAGAAAATGCTTTTTCGCTAACAATTCATCTTTTCATCAATTAATTACACTCGTCCCCTGGAGTACATTAGAAATTTCAAAAGGGCCAAAAAGTAAAAATAAAAAAAATTCACTCCCCAGCCCAAGGCGGAAAACGATTGATTTTTATTTCTAAAAAATTATAATTTTACAACACGCGCGTCAGCCGGATTTGATTATTCCTGTGAATTGTAAATATTCAGTAGCGACAATAGCCTGTAAAATATGAAAATGAAGAAAGAAAAATCATTGAGGAAAAACGTTCTCCTATATAATCCCCGTTTTCCTCAAGCTCGTAGTTCTATTTTTCAGTGGTAAAAAAATCAATCATGAGATCACTTTTATTCTCTGTATTTCTGTTATTCGCGACTGCTGGCTGTAAGTTCCTCACGATAATTTGCGTTAATTATTCCAAATTGAATATTTCATTCCCGATTGACTTGATTCAATCGCTAATTCATCAATAATCTCGTTAATTATATAACTGCGCAGTGGAATTCAGGTGTTGATTTGAGGTTGATAATGGATTTATTGTAGATTGCAATGCAGAATGTCCGGGAAATTCGTCAGGAACGAGTTGTGGTCTAGCCTGTGAGCCAACTTGTTCTGTTCCTGCGCATATACCATTTTTATGTCCAAGAATCGTGTGTGTTCCCGTCGATGGTGCACCTTGTCGTTGTGATATAGGTTTTTACAGAAATTCTACAGGGAATTGTGTAGAATGGAATGACTGTGACAATTCAGAGTAATATTTTATCAAATATCATTATATTTGATAAAATATACGATAAAATTATCGATTTTATCTCGAATAATTCAAATAAATAAGACTTGTATGATTCAGTTGAATCTTTATTATTTCCTCGCAATCACAGTGAAGCATCAGAAACAAACAGCTGATTATTGTATAGTAAAATTGATATTTTTAAACGGAATTATAAGTGAGTTCAACTCTACAGGTCGTAATTACATGTATTTTATGAAGCCCACGCGAATATAGTACGCAATTTGTACCCGACCATTTAATTTCTAACATCTCATCGTAAAATATTGCTACTACACGCTAATTTCTATACATGACATTCATAAAATCGTGCAATTTTCCTATTGATACATAACAAACAATGACAATTGGTGGTTTTAGCGGTCTATCGAAAATTTTCTCAATTATTAAGGCATTTCAATATTTCATATTTTATTGGTGTTTGATACCCCAGTTCGGTAATTATTGTTTTTTTTTTTTTTTAGAAAAAAATATATCTATGAAAAATGTGTTCGCGACACTTTTCCTCCAATTACTGTAAATTATTGCCACGGTTTATAAAAATAGTCTGTTATAAATACGTAAAAAAGTATATGATTCTCATTGAATTAATTGAAAAATGTATATTTAAAGCACTTCTGGATTAAATTTAGTATATACCAGTGATTCATCAACAAGCTGAATTCACTGGATTCATCTATTTCATTATTTCACTCTATATTATCGACAACATTGACATATTAATACTATCTCCCGTTCGTTTCGTCAAACCCCCCCGTGATAGCCGACAAAAATAGGTAGTCAATATTCCCAAAAAAAATATTCAGCATCTTTTCATGTTTCGATGCATCTTACAAGCTTCCACATTCGCGTAACACTCGATTGCCCAGAGGTAGTGGTGGACGGAAATTATTGATGACCTGTTTAGAAGGAATGAAAATTAATTACAGTAATTGCTCGGATTATTGAGATAATAATAATAATGAGAGTTTATGGAAAATTACCACTCCATGATTCTCATGGCAGGGACACTCCCCACCTCGCGGGAATTTTCTCAAATTGCGGAATATGTTGAGCTGGTGGTGGGACACTTCGATGTATTTCTTGAATAGCACCCAGGTGACACTCTCGTTGCAGGGAGGGGTGGTCAATGATCCGAGATAAGTCCAGTAGCCATTGTCGTCTGATAACCGGAAATTATAAATGTCCATTACGTAATTATTTTGGTTTGGTGGTGGGGTATGAGTATGCCGTCACTGACTATCCATGACTACTCCTTTTCTATTCACATACCATACATACATTGATTATTTCTATAATCAATTTTTTTTTTCTGTGGAATGTTTTGGTACATCATATGGTATCTACGCTCATGCTGTATGAATAGTGATAATTTTGTACAAGTTGTTGGGCATGTGCGCTAGGCATTTACATTGGTGGAGGTGACATGTGTGGGATGTTTAGCTTTTTATTATTTTTTTTGTGCCATTTCACGCATTCCAGATGTCAATATCGTTGGATATTTGTTACCAACCTTGGAAGTCACACTTGTTATCGGGTCGTATTATTCTGTCTGCCCATCTCATGCATGGGTTAATGCATCTACCGGCACGTCCACCTCGTACTGATTAATTTTTTTAAATAAATAAAATAAGGAAATATCGGCCAATTCACTCAAGTATTTTTTCGTAATTGCCCACATATCTTTCAACGAAAAAGTCAATATTTAGGTGGTTGTCAGATGATTGTTTATGTGATGATCAGAAACTACAAATCATTAAACACCTTTTTAGACGATAAAAAAAAAATCATTTGTCAAGATGATTTGGACAAGTATTTCAGAGAACTCGTGACTCACTCTTCAAGGTATTCTCCAATTTGAGCATTAAGACGCAATTATGTTGCGCATTTAGATAAACGTGGAATTCATACTGATTGGATTTTTTTAAAAATACAATTGAATAATGAAGGCTCACCAGGAAGAAGTTTGCTGGGATCAATTGGATCGTCAATTTCGATCATCTCATCCCTGTGAGAGACGTAGGGCAACATTCGCGCTATTTTGTCCATTTCCTCATGAGTTTTTCCCACCTGAAATCATTTTAATATGACACGTTCGATGAATTTTATTCTTGCAGAGGTAATACTGCAAATTTTATCATGATCAATCAGATTTTGCAGCACTAGGTTATCGTTCAAGGTTGATAAACAATGACTTATTCATAACTAGTCGATTGTTGAGGGGAAAATCGGCAATCGATTGGTCTTGTGATTGACGCACAAAAGAGAATAGGACATTTAAAAAATTCTTGCGTGATAAGGGAAATATTAATGATGAGCACGTGAGGGGTATAACCATCAATTTGAGCTGTAAAATTTTCATTCAAATGTTGCACAACAGGTTGTTTGAATTTTTCCCTTGCATACGGTTAATTCTTGGAGTAAAGTTTGTGTGTGCAGACGCCGGATAATTCGATGTATTCGGTATTCTAGTGACGCTCAACAACTTACCAGTTACCTAATGTTCGATTGCGTAATCTAGGAACACGAATTCTAAATTATCATAAATGAATTGTTGATGGGGAGATGAAAATTGGGAATAATGGTGGGAGATGTTGGTGGTGTTATGCAATAATTTGAGTTTCTTTAGGGGATGCATTTATTACGTAAAGTGGATAGGACAATAAAGGCAACCGTAAAAGTTCACTGGCTTTGTAAACTCTGTCATTGGTTGGGATTTAAATGTAAACATGTAATGGAGGGTCTTCTTGACGTCATTGAAAAGTGGCTTTGACAGTAATTACCTTGAGAAAAACACCGAGAACTGCGAGCCCGTCTGGTGCTTTAGCTGCTTCGCCAAAGCTCCGGTACTTCGTTGTGTTCCAATGAACCAGATGCAACTGACAATTACAATGCAATTAACAATAACGTGCCAAAGTGGAATCAGTCGGATTAAACATTTCTCTCAACTATCTATTTATCCGGTGTCTTGATATTTCTCTCTAAAATCTATACTCTTTTTCCACAAACGAATATTCACACACACATTCATGAAAAAAAAAAGTTGTGAACTCGCGCTGTTCTATTCTGGTGCATTTATTATCACTTGATCGCTAATTCAATCGCCGAAAAAAATATATGGAGAAGAAAACGTGACGTTAGTCGGGCTGTATTATGCAAACCTTTGTTGTACAAATTGACAGAATGATAATAGTGGAAGATTGGTCGTGTTATCAATGAATATCTAAATATTAACTTGGAGGGGCTTGAAGTTGATGAATAATATTGATAAACTGTGAATTCTCACTTCGCCAGCAAATGCTTGTCCATCGACAGTGTGTTCTGATCCTCTGGAATCACTGCAGCCCCAGTGGCAATGGTACTGCTCAAGCTTGTAAATATCATCCATCAATGGACCCCCCGTCAAAACTGTTATAAAATCGGTGTGAAAGATTATTATTAGATTACAGGCTTCAATTGATATTTATTGGATACTGATATCTTCAGTTCTCCGGGGTGAAATCGATTATCGTCATATTATCGTTTTACAACACAATTGAATATTCAGTTCAGATTTTATGGTATATTATGCGTTTTTTTTTTCGTATTTTTATTAGTGGTCTAATTCCTCTGCCAACTTGCGACATTGCAGAATAAAAAAAAATAAAAAAAACAAACTGTCGAGGCCAGTCAATTTCTAATACTAGATGAAGCCAGATGTGATGAGACATTAGCACGTGAAAGCCATCACTCTGTCATCAACAGTTAACGAAGTACAATTAATAATTCACGGTGGAATTCGTAGTCGGCAAAATGTCGGCCACTTGTTTTTATTTTTTTTATTATTTTTTATTTGCAGGATTAATGTCGCATGAATCAACTGAAAATAATATAATAGCGGATACGGGTAGTTTAAAAGATATTCACTGGTTTATTTTTTATTATCGTACGGGGGGGAACTCTCGGTCAACTCGATGAATCAGTCGTATGATAAATGACGCGGATATATCTGAAACGATATCACCTTCGCCATGTAATTATACCATAGGTTTATTATCTGTTTGTGAAGCTACTCATTGGTAATTAATTATGTATGCCGAGGGGACGATGCCCCCAGGTAAATAATCGTATAAAATCGTTGGATAAATTATTCAATGATTGATAAATTGTTGGATCGTGTGGGAGATGGAAAAGTTTTTAGGAATTTTTGGATATTAATGATCTGACGTTGATTAGAATTAGGTGATGGCTAGTTGATGGCTGGTTGATGGCATCGGGTCCAATGTAGCAATGTCGACTTTCTTTTTTTTCACTTGAAAAAAAAAAATACTTACGCGTTCCATCACCATCGCAGTCAATGCGCCAGCAATATCCCGGATTGACAAGTTTTTTCGATGCAGAAGCCGGATATTTCCATCTGAGCGGTTTGTTGCTCAGGGCCTCGTGATCAGACTCAGCCCGATCAGTTTCGATGTTGACAGGACTTTGTCTAGATCCCGCTGCCATTGGGAATCTCTCCACCCACGTACTGGGACCTGTGCAGTAACACAATTTTTCCATTCGATTCAGGGATTAACAAAATCGTCATTTTGCTAAAAAAATTTTCGTTAGAGAAAAATCTTTGCATCGGTTGAGCAAGGTTGCGAGAGCGATTGAAACCGCAAATGGGAACAAATAACCGAGGACAAGGCCGTTCAGAGAACTCGACTTTGAAGGTAAAAGAGTTGTCATCAAGTAATTTGACAAATTTCCGTAATTTTTCTGATGGATTCGTAAAGGTGTTATTTGTCTCAATGGCACACCCTATGAAAACGACGTCAGTCAGACGAATGTTTATCTATTATGCACACCCTTTGGAGTGGCCGATGACAGTTATTTTGATCGATATCTCTTTGTCGATTGTCGAGAGAGCGTAGGGTAAATCGATTTGGGGTAAAGTTAGGGGTTTATATTTGTTCTGTAATCGTGGATTATAAAGGTAATGATTTATTTTTCATTAGAAATTCTGAAAATAGAAATGGATTATCGCTAGGAAAATTAAAGAGGAAGATCCTAGGTAATTGTTATTCAACTCACACAATCACCACTGACAATGGAATAAACTCAAACATGGTAATGCATTGTTAATGCGTTGGTCTGATGTCGTGTCGATAAATCGCGCGTTCTAATAAAAAATATAAAACAACGACTTCTGGGCCGTTGGATATATTATATTTTTTTTATCGGTGCAGTTTTTATTTTCCTCTGGTCGTAATTGTCAGCGTAAATTTTTCGGTTGATTGGATAATTCTTGGAGTGATCTTCATCATCTGCGAGTGAACTGTGCAATTATCTCGGTTGATTGAGAATTGGAAAATATTCGGAAGTTGGCAATTTATTTTTCGTGTCGTCAATGAGGAATTCTGTTGAGACACCAATTTCTCTAATTAGGTTGGGATACAGGTGAATTTATATTGACGCCTCTAGCGTTATCTTGTAAATAATTCATGGATTACAATGAAGAATCGGTAAATATAGTACATCTAATGTCGGTGTTCACAGTAATTATTCCGCACTCGATGGGGAGTTTTATAGATGTTCACGGAAGACGTTGAAATACATCCGACGGATTAATTCTTTAAATGACGGTGAAATTCTATCCTAACACCTGTTATTAACCTATTATCGAATATTTAATTTTTTACTGGCTCGTTTCTCGTGCCGCTGAAACAGGTATTATCGGTAAGAGGTGAATTTTAATGCTTGAAAAATATTTCCTCTTTGATCTGTACCACGAAAAATGGTGAGTTTACCTTGATGGTGACCTTGGAATATCAAGTTTATAGCCTTGAAAATTACTTGTTTCCTCTTGCAAATGATCGCTGATTTTTAAGGACTCGGGCATTTCGCAGCGCGTGTTATTGCAGTTGTGATTTGCAACCTATGCATTTTATATATTTATTTATTCTTTCATTTCGTGATTTATCTGGAGAACGCGAGACTTTAATATTTTGATTGATGGAAAATTGGAGTTGGTGGGGTTTTGTATTATGTTTAACGATGTAAATTGCGTATCCAATTATTCTTATCGTCGGTCAGTCATACTCGACTTATTAATTGACTATAAGTACTCCAACTCAATTAATTGAGCAAGTTGTAGTGTCAAGTTCAGAGTTCGATGAAAACTATCGGGGAAAAAAAAAATAAAAAATTGAATGTATTGATTTCCGTTTGTGGTGTGAGATTCATATATCATGTGATACGCAAAGTGAAATGTGTTGTACCTGCGGTACCAGCAGTCACCAAAATCACCTTAATATTTGATACTGAGTTCGGCAAACTGTTTGACAATCTGATAACAACGATAAGAATGATCAAATGATAGGGTGCGATTTTTTTTCATTTCAAATGCCATACTTATTATTATCAACGATTAATTATCTTCACGACGTTTCCTTGGTACCTTACTGACAAACATTTGCAGTATTTCTCCACCTCGGGAGACAAAGCAAATGTGTAATTTGATATTTAATCATTTACACATCGTGACAATACGTAATAACATGGTGAAACGCGAAGCATTTATTCCTATCAATTTCCACTGAATATTTTCTCTCGGTATATCGAGTTGAATATTTTTATTGATCATCGATGTATACTGAAAAAAATTCATCCAATGTGGTAGTTTAATTTTTAATTTACCATTTCTTGTATAATCCCAGTCGTTTCTGCCGGCCATCTCGGGGGGTTTTACCGGAAATTGAGATCCGAAAAATTAAGATCCGAGTACAATCCGCTCCCGCTCGTTTTGACCACTTGAGAAGACTTGACGCTTGTGAAAGTTTGTGGACAGAGCTGTTGCTTTGTTGACCAACTTCTTTTCGATGCACTATTTGATCTCCTCAAATGGTTGAATATGCTGGGCTCCGTTTCGATTAATTAACAATTGCTATATGAGTGCTAATGAGCTACGGGTATTTTATTATTGACAATAGATTGAGAGGAGGGTACGATTGTGAAATATTGTAAAAGATTGTGAAAGCGTCGATTTAACTCCAAACACTGGAACGACAACACTGTAACTGCTTTCGTTGGCCGTTGCGATGATTGTCAAGACCGGCCGGTTATCGTCTCGGTTTATAATACTATTTCAGTCACGTGACTATGTGGACAATGTTGTGCGCATGCGCCGGTAAATATTTACACGTGCACTCGTGGAGTGGTGTTGTTCACCCCCCACCTCCTGGAGGCCAGTGGTTCAGGCATCCCCAGGCTCTCATTCGTCCAGGCATTTTTACATGTGACTCACACGTACACCGATCATTGGGCGTACGTGAAGATATACTTTTTCCCCGTTTCTCACTGTTTTCCAGAGGTTAATTATAGCTGGGGGAATGGATCCAATGACCCTTTGGCTCAATTTTTATCCCTCCATATTTTGTTTCTCCTCCACACGATTTTTCAACTGGTCATTGCTATTTTTCTTTTGGTTGATTCTGTTTTTTTTTTTATGGTGGTATAGAGTATTTTTTTTATCTCGAGTACGCGAATCTGTTGCTGAATAACAGCATCGCCTCGAGGCAAGAATGTTTCTAGAGTTCGATGCACTCCTCTCGAAAATAGTTGTTTCTGTCTAGTGGTTTTTTAAGCACCATAGCCTCGCTTATTTTAAAAACCCCGATAATCTCCTTGAAACCGTAAGAATACGGAAAAATCATTGCGATAAAAAAAAAATAAAAAGATGCACTCGAGATCAAGTTCAATATGAAATCGATAATTTCGAGGTCGTGATTTTTTTTTTTCACTCGTTTCCTGAGTTTTCACTGTATAGTGATAACTATATCAACAAGATAGGCAGATATTCGGTTGCAATACTAACGGTAATTCTATTGACCGTGGGATATCGCGTTAATTTGCATCACGAGATAAACGTGATGGTAATTAGTTTATTTGACTAATCACTTCATTCACAAATTTTTCATTGTTTTGACGGTAATATCGATTGTCTGCCCTGGATTTTAATAACCTTGTGGAATTTTTTACGATCGAAATATAGCTTATCTTGTTTTAATTTAATTGAACTGAGCGATTAAAAATAATAAACAGTAGGTAATTTCGTAATATCGCATAAATGAATAAAAATTGAATAAAATCATGATAAAAAGTTATTTGCGCACGCGTCAAGGGAATGAAGATCATTCGACGAGAACTAATCGCAAATTGAATTTTTCTCTCGATTAAATCGCTAAGGAAAAATGATTGTTTATGCAGATAAATTTGACGCGGATAATATTTTCAGTCTCACCCTCTGATATTTTGAGCTCCAACTGGAAAACAGTTGGACTCCTATTATTAGAATTGTTTGTATAGTGCTAATAGTTCTAATGAAAGTGGCGATATATGACGATTGAAACCTCAAGACATCTCAAGGCTCTCCTCAGTAAATTTTTTAATTATCTCGTATGTTACACGATGGAGATGATTTTTTTTTAATTATTGAAAAGTTAATCGTGTTTTCCGAATTGAGAAAAATATTTACCTCAGTCATAAATTCATCGCCTCTTGGTATGCAAATTCCATGATACGTATTCAAATTTATCTACGTAACCCAGCTATCTTTTTTTTTTATCGCTCACGTGTTTTAACAGGGACGATTCTCTTATCTACATCGTTGCACTCCATTCAATGAACATGTGTGATAAATTCGTTTTGCTGATGATGGCTTGACGAACAAAAAGTATTATTACGGAATGGTTATGCAAGAGGCGATAAATTTGAGGGACTTCTCCGAAGATGTCTTGATCGTAAACCTCTGGCGTACTCATTGCCAATACTAACAAAATGCTTTTCCTCCTATTTATTTATGTCCTGTGGTTAGACCTTTAATTACAATTGAAGATTAAAAAGTCAAGGATTTTAGCTATGTGAAGTTGGTATCGAAGTTTGAAAAATCTAACTTTTTTTTGTTGGTTTGGATTGTACTCATTGAGTACTTGAATGTACCCTGTGCACTTTTTTTTGTACCCTCTTACTTTAGCCCTGAAGCAGGGGGGCAAAATTGTTAGTACATGATTGTCCAATTTTAAGTCCTCAAATTATTGACTGGCCTTACTCATTATTCTATTAACATTTGGGCGCGATATTTTTTCCTAATAAGTACAATCAAATATACTGATCGGACAAGTCTGTAGACTCGGAGTTGCGAAAGTACAATCGGTCTAGCATTATTTTCGAGCTAGTACAGACCTTTTCTGCGACATCCAGCTCATGTACATTTCTTTCTTGGGTAGTACAATCAAGTAAACTGATTGTACATGTCTGTAGAGTCAGAGTCGCGAAGGTACAAACGATTATTTCGAAGTACAATCGGCCTATCATTATTTTCGAGCTAGTACAAACCTTTTCTGCGACATCCAGCTCATGTACATTTTTTTCTTGGTT